ACTTCCTCAAGAGCCCTGATATAAGCAGTGGGAGGAGTTATGCAAATATTAAAAGTGCCTTGATAAGTGGGTGTCAGTCTGGTGGAGTTGGTGTTCTTAAGCAGGCTGCATTTGCATGCAGAACGCCCCAAGGTAACGTCCACACAGTGGCGTCCCAAACGGGGGGTTGAGGGGTGACACCATTGGAGGGGTGACTGTCAGTCATTTTGGTGTCAGCCCCTCTGAAAAGTCAGATACTTGGTCAGGGACCGAGAGCCCGACAGTTGCAGGAGAGAGGACGGGACCCAGCGGCATACCTTATCCCGCCGGGTGAACGTCACCTCCTCTCTCTGGCGGCGTCCATCACCAAGATGGGCGCTGGCAAGTATCACCAAGATGGCAGCGCATGCGCAATAACATCATCGCGTACGGGCGTGGTGACGTCATGCACGATGATGTCACGGCAGGGTGTCACCCGATACCCACTCCGGGACGCCCCTGCCCCTGCGTCCACATGGGATGGTGAGCCTTCATGATTGATAGAACGGAAATCCAATGAATGAAAAGGGCGGGGCTAGAAACAGTTAGGCTGGGAAGGAAAGGGTTAGATGATACTGCACATCCCACAGCCAGGAAATATCTAAAGGCAAATTAAGGGTCACTTAAAGCATATCTAAAGCCTTTTTTTTGTTTTAGATGGAGGGGGAAGGATTTGAACCCCACATTTTTCTAGCTGTCTGTGTCCTAGAAAGAGTCACCTTCTCTGTTTGTTTCGGTGACCATTCTCACCAGGATATAAAGTAATGGGAATACAAATTTTGAGTTGTCACTGGAATGAGAATAGAGGGGAAATTTTCCAATGGGTATACCTGCTCCAGTGACAACTGTCTAGGCGGGGATATCCCTGACATTAGAGATATTTCCTATCACTTCCTGTCCTGTCTCAGAAACAGGAAATTAAGCAATTTCTCCCCAATGGGGAAACCTTTTCTCCATTCTATAAAAAAAAAAAAAAAGTTTTGGCTTTATTTACTTTCAAGTTCCTGATCCTGAAGTGGCTGCCAATGCTAATCCCACCTGAAATAGCTAGTTACCTGGCTGGCTCGCCATTCTCCTGAGATAGGACTCATCCCAGCTCTCCTCTCTTCACTGCATAGTAAAACTTTGCGCCACATATCAGGAAAATGGAAATTAACAGTTCGGCGTGTGACACATAGTCCTCCTCACCAAGTGTTTGTAGGGTTGTATTTAATTTGGATCATCCAGATAATTGTATTTAATTCTCATTTTTCAGAAAAAGAAGATGTGGATTGCCTAGATATGTTCCAGTCCATTGGGTGGTTGATGACCCTCATAGTCTTGACCGGAGCTTTGCCACGGTGCCAGGGGGCTTGTGGCGTCAGCACGGATGGAAAAAGCGTCACTTGCAAAGGACAGAACCTGAAACAGGTCCCTCAGAATCTCTCAGAGAGCCTGGTGTACCTGGACCTATCGTACAACAAAATTTCGGCAATAGGAGCAGATGACTTTTTCCAATATCCCAAGCTACACACGTTAAACCTGAGCTACAACAATATATCGTACGTTGACAATAGAACATTTCAGTACAACGTACTCATAAGGAACTTGAGTTTGTTTAATAACTCCCTCAGTGAGATTCCTCATTCTTCCTTGGAAGATCTGGGAGACTTGCAGATCTTTGACTTGTCCAACAACCTCTACAAACGTGTAACTCTTGAAGACGTCTTCGGCACTCTGGTAAAACTGAAAGATTTGTCCGTAGGAGGTCCTCTGGTCTCCGGCATCTTCAAAGATGACTTTGCTTCCATCCAAAATATCAATCTTATTAGGTTTGCTTTGAAATCCAAGTCCAGCTTAGACTATTATGAACCCGGGGCCTTCTCATTCCTTGACACACAGAATTTGTGGCTCGACATCGCTGTGGACAAAAACGCAACACTTTTTGGTGCTATGTTGAAGGATTTGACAAATAAATCCTTCACTAGCCTTCGTTTTCGGAATTTGTTTGAGTTGTCCTATTATGCGGGCATTGAGGATATATTTTCTTATCTACCATATATTGATGTAAGAGGCCTGGTCTTCTACAGAGGGAAATTCAATGAGAACCTCTTACGTCTGGTCTTGCAGAATGTCCAAGTATCTTCAATAAGGAATCTTTACCTGGTTTCCATCGATTTTGCCCGTTCTCCAAATGCCAATAAATCAGAAGTCATCATTGACAACTTACATTTGGACAACCTGGTGATACAGGATGTCACCAACCCAGACATACTTCGATTTGACTGGACATTCACTTGGTTCAACAAGGTCACTAGCCTCAGTATCATTAATGTGAACTTCAACTTTGTTCCTTGCGATGCTTGGGGCCAGATGAGCAATGTGGTTGTGCTAAACGTATCAGGAAACCGTCTCTTGGCCTCGTACCTGTTTAACCTGTTGTGTAGCGATCATATTTTACCCAACATTAAGATATTTAATGCCAGCGACAATGTGATGCGCAGTCTCAAGACGGTATCTTTGTTGACAGCTCGGTGGCCAAAACTCACCCACCTTGACCTTAGATCAAACAACCTTGGGAGCCTCGACGAAACTTGTGTGTGGACATCTAACATCAAAGTTCTTATTTTGAAGGACAATTTGCTCCGGTACGAAGTGTTCCGCTGTCTACCTACAACAGTGGAACACTTGGACCTCTCCAATTCCCAGCTCGAGAGATTGAACATGCATTACTTTGACATGGCCACCAATTTGACAAAACTGATACTTAGCAACAATAAAATCAAGTTCATACCCTCAGGGTGGCGCAGTCCCAACCTTCAAGTGCTGGCACTGGAAGGCAATTCCTTTGGAGTTATTGATCAGGGTTCTTTTCGAGATTTGCCCCAGTTGACACACTTGACAGCGGGCAACAATCCTTACCACTGTACATGTGACCTTTATGCCTTCATCACAGACACTCTGAAAGAAGGGTCTTTGGGTCTTGATGACTGGCCCGATAATTATTACTGCTATCACCCCCCGTATTTGTTGGACACTAGGATTGAACACTTCAGCCCTGGAAGGCTGGAGTGTAGCGTTGGCTTGGTGGTGGCCATATCTGCGTCGGTGACGGCTTTCGTTGTCATTGTCTGCATGTTGCTGTGTTGGAGATTCGATGTACCATGGTACATTCGAGCGACTTGTCAAATAATCCAAATGAAATATCGGTCGCGGAAGGCAAAACACAGCAGAGACTATGACTACCACGCCTTCATCTCTTACAGCTATTCGGACGCTGATTGGGTAAGAGGGGTTCTACTCCGCCATCTGGAGAACTCTGACCCACCCTACAGAGTATGCATCCATGAGAGAGACTTTCTGCCAGGGAAATGGATTATCGATAACATCATAGAGAACATTGAGAACAGCCAAAAGATCATCTTCATTCTGTCACACAACTTCATCAACAGTGAGTGGTGTAACTACGAGCTCTACTTCGCCCACCAAAGGGCCATTGGCCACGCGTTTGAAGACGTTATCCTGGTGGTCAAGGAAAGCGTCAGTATGGAAGATCTGCCAAAAAGATTCCACAGGCTACGGAAAATTCTTAGGACCAAAACGTATTTGGAGTGGCCTATGGAGGAAAGCAGACAACCCTTCTTTTGGGTCCAACTCAAGAGCATCTTAGGGAAGGGCAGCTCAAGTATTAAGGGACAAGATAATGTATCTCTGGTCAATGAAACTGTTATTAGGGGGCAGGAGAGCAGCTCTGAGGAAATGTCAACCCCCACAGAGGCCACCCCTACAGAGACCACCCCCACAGAGGACAGCGATGTGAATACACCTGAAAACCAGACATTTTCTTGTATTTTATGAACTTCCATTGTCCTAATTGTTCTCTATATTGCACATATTACTCAGTGGAGGCAAACTTGCCTCCCATACTCACTGTGAAAGCCTTTTTTGATACATGATCAACCAGACCACGACCAAGAACAGATAATATGAATTATTTTATATTGTACATAAAGTGAAACCTCCACCAAAACATTTTTTACTTAAGGAGAACTATGGGGTTAAGGCTTTTCCCCATATTTCTCCTTAGGGTAACGGGAGGACACAAACTAGCGTCCTCCCGTCACCCTAGGCTCAGTATACCGCGAGCTGCTGCTCGCGGTATACTGAGACGCCGCAGCTGCAGCGGATCCCGACAATTATGTCCGCCCAGCTGCGTGGATCCGCCCAGCTGGTGACTGACAGCTGGCTCTGCCTATCTAGAGGCAGAGCCAGCTGTACCCGCCCCCTCCCCCGTCCGTTCTGCCAGTCAGCGCTGGAGGAGCGGGGAATCCAGCCCCTCCTCTGTCACGGCAGAGAGCCGTGACAGGATCGAGAGGTGAGCGAACGCCGGTATGTGTTCGCTCACCTCCCGATCTACTGAGCCGACCTGTGACAGTCACAGGTTGGCTAGAACTATGAGGTGAGTGAAAAGCACTCACCTCATAGTTCTCCTTTAGTATAGAGCTGAGAAGTGTTCCCCTTGGGCTGTACTAACTCATTTCCTGTTGTCCATCCCTCTAGGACAGGAAATTAGGGGCTACATCTCCCCAGTGGGTACATAGACAACAGTAAACACCAGGTTCTTACACAGATCTATACAAAGCTAAAACATTTGCGGTTTTGGCTGGGGTCCCACTATAAATATTTATATTTACTTTATCAAACGACGGTTAAAAATTGGGAAAAGAACATTTTATGTTGCCCATTACCTCAGCACTTTTCAGCTCTGAAGAATAATCACCTAAGCTGGCATCAGCCTTGACTCTCACACCATACCTCTACCTTCCAGTATACCTCCCCACGGAACAGACATGGTCCCAGAATGGTTTTGCCCTGCTGATTCTTTGTCCAGAATGCTTGCATAAGTCATCCCATAGCTTTTATTCAGGTTTACTTCAGAATTTGCTGGGCTGCATGTGCTGAGTTCCCAGGTCTGTTCTGAGTTCCCAGGTCTGTACACCTGCTAAGCCCATTATGAGGGGCTCCCACCATCCCTGTGCTGAGTTCCCGGGTCTGTACACCCGCTGTGCCCATTATGAGGGGTTCCCACCATCCCTGTGCTGAGTTCCCGGGTCTGTACACCCGCTGTGCCCATTATGAGGGGCCCCCACCATCCCTGTGCTGAGTTCCCAGGTCTCAGCTCAGAGATGGTGGGAACCCCTCCCCTCATAAAGGGCACAGCAGGTGTACAGACCCGGGAACTTAGCACTGGGATGGTGGGAACCCCTTATAATGGGCACAGCAGGTGTACAGTCCCAGGAACTCAGCACAGGGATAGTGGGAGCCCCTCATAATGGGCACAGCAGGTGTACAGACCCGGGAACTCAGCATAGGGAATCCTGGGCACCCCTTATAATGGGCACAGCAGGTGTACAGACCCGGGAACTAAGCACAGGGATGGTGGGAACCTGTAGAAATTCAAAAACAAGTTGGCAGCAGCTCCCCTATCCCTGCCCGGACACGTTCCCCTTTAATCTTCAGCCAGAATGATCAGAGTTTCCGGAAACAGGTTATAATGATGGAGAAAGGCCACTAGGATTAGACAGGATTACACTATAATGGGCGAGTTTTCTGATGATGGTTAGTCACTGCGACCGTCTGATCCTCAGAAACTAATTTCTAAGTATTAATCACGAGCTCGACGCATCTGTGAACGTTAAAGGGACGACGCCCTCACACTTTATGATACACTTTATATGTCTTTGTATATTGATGACAGATTGTAGTTGTATGTTTTATATGTTGTATATACCTCACATTGTCTATCTATGTTTATATTCATACCATGTATGGCGGTGTCCTTACCTCCGAGACATCATCTCTGGTGATAGCCTACATTTTATTATTAGGGTCTTTAACAGCCAATTACAAAGAAGGGGCGGGACTTTATTTGGCCCTGAACCCTTTCCTGAATTTGCACCTTTTAGCACTTACACCCCCTATTTTTCTATTCAACTTTTTTCCTCTGCTGATCCTCCTCCTCGTTTATTGCAGTCTTACATTTTTTGTAAAGGGTCAGCTCCTCTCAAAATGGTGTTTTACAGAAATGTTTTCTCTGTCCGGATTGTTTTGTGTGGGCAGCAGTGCGATCCCGTCACCGGTGTTCTCAGCTCCGCCCACAAGGCAGTCAAGCTCTCACCGTTGCCTTTTACGTTTCTACTATGGAGAATGCCGCAGGAGGAGCGAGACTTCCAGACGAGACAGTGGGTGATAACCTAGCCAGGTCATAAGTGACATATCAGTTTTGGGGTTTTATCTTTTAAAAAGTTTTTGTTGCCTTTTCTTTTTATATTTCCAGGTTTTCCTCTCTTTTGAACGCCACCAAAACTTTTTTTTATTGTGAATGGAATAGTTTTTTGTTTTTACACAATTATAAATACACCCTCGCTCATCCAGGTTAAGGCATCTGCCTGTGTGACCACAGAAGGGGCCTTAGAGGGGGAGACAACCAACTGGAGCTCACACTATATGAGAAGCTGAAGCTGGGGGGGTGTTTCCTGAGGCTCCACCCACTTCCTGGAAAACGTCCGTCTATGTAATCCTTAAAGGGCCGAATGTTAAACATGTACTCCGAGGTGTTATGAAGGTCTCAATGTGTTGTAATAATATGTTCTGTAGATATTGTGCTCAGGGCTGTCCTTCGGGGTCATTTCATTTTATAAAAACGCTGTTACAGAAAAGAAATGTTTGTAAATCTATTTATGTTTTATAAAGAATGACGGAGTTTATAACTTTATAAAAGGTCTCCGTGTTTCCTCATTCATTATTTAAATTGATTTCATCTCCCAAGACAGGACTGAATCCGATTGGTAGCTTTTTGAGGATGTTCCAGCGTCACCAGCAGACGTGTTTCGGGATCAGTAGGTTACTGTAAAGGGCATAGAGTGTATTTCCTGAACTATGTACCATGTAACATCTTCATTCTCGGCTTCCTGTATCAGGGGCGTAACTAGAAATCAGAGGGCCCCATAGCAAAATTTTGTATGGGCCTCTGTGATTTCTAGTCACGATCCTTGCAGAGCCCACCTGAGATCCCAAACAGCCCACCTGAGAGTGACCCTGCAGAGCCCAGCATTGACTTTCTATGGTGGGCTCTGCAGGGTCTCAGGTGGGCTGGTCACACCCCTGCACACCTCTTACCTGTCAGCCTCCTCCTGCACGGTCGCTGGCAGGCCCCGCCTCCTCTTACATCGTTGAGCCCTTCTCCCCTTCCATCGCCAGGCCCAGCCTCCTCTTATGTCACTGGCCCCTCCTCCGCTGCCGACGCCGGGCCCCGCCTCCTCCTCCGCTGCCGACGCCGGGCCCAGCATCCTCCTCCTCCGCTGCTGTCTGGAGGAATGCGCCCGCTGCACAGATCACTGACAGGTTGCCGGCGATCTAACAGCGACACGTTCCTCCTCACAGCCGCCAGTGGCAGCCAGCAGCCTGAGATGCCATAGCGACCCAGGCGGTCCGCATGGCATCAGGGGGATGTCCTGGCCAGGCCCCACTGTGCCCTGGCCCCATAGCGGCCACCTGGGTCGCTATGGCGATTGTTACGCCACTGTCCTGTATCACCAATTACCTTTAAACCTCCAAGACAGGACTACATTTGATTGGTAACTTTTTGAGGATGTTACAGCGTCACCAGGATCAGTAGGTTACTGGTAATGGGCGTAGAGTGTATTTCCTGTGCTATGTGCTACGTAACATTCTCTCTCAGCAACAAAAAATACATGTAAACTCCCAAGACAGCACATCATTTTATTGGTGGCTTAGAATAATGTTTCAGCATCAGCAGCAGATGTTTCAGGATCAGCAGATTACCAGTAAAGGGGGTAGAGTGTATTTCCCGAACCATGTGCTATGCAACACCCTCTTGCTCTGCTTCCTGAATCAACAATCACATTTAAAGTTCCAAGAAGAGATTGAATCTGACTGGTGGCTTTGGAGGAAGTTTCAGCATCACCAGCAGATGTGTTTCAGGATCGGCACATTACTGGTAAGTGGTGTAGATAGTATTTCCTGAACAATGTGCTATGTAACATCTTCTTTCTCTGCTTCCTGCATCAACAATTGCATTTAAATCTCCAACACAGGACTACATCTGATTAATAACTTTGGAGGATGTTCCAGTGTCACCAGCAGATGTGTTTCAGGATCAGCAGATTACTGGTAAAGGGGGTAGAGTGTATTTCATGAACTATATGGTATGCAACATTCTCTCTCTCCCCCTTCTGCTTTCCCTCTCCTCTCTCTCTCTCTCTCTCCCTCCTCTCTCTCTGTCCCTCCTCTCTCTCTCCCTCCTCTCCCTCCTCTCTCTCTCTCTCCTCTCTCCCTCCTCTCTCTCTGTCCCTCCTCTCTCTCTCTCCTCTTCTCCCTCCTCTCTCTCTCTCCTCTCTCTCTCTCCCTCCTCTCTCTCTCTCTCTCTCCTCTCTCTCTGTCCCTCCTCTCTCTCTCTCCTCTTCTCCCTCCTCTCTCTCTCTCCTCTCTCTCTCTCCCTCCTCTCTCTCTCTCTCTCTCCTCTCTCTCTGTCCCTCCTCTCTCTCTCCCTCCCCTCCCTCTCCTCTCCCTCCTTTCTCTCTCTCCTCTCTCTCTGTCCCTCCTCTCTCCCTCCTCTCTCTCTCCCTCCTCTCCCTCCTCTCTCTCTCTCCTCTCTCTCTGTCCCTCCTCTCTCTCTCCCTCCTCTCCCTCTCCTCTCCCTCCTTTCTCTCTCTCCTCTCTCTCTGTCCCTCATCTCTCTCTCCCTCCTCTCTCTCTCTCCTCTCACTCCTCTCTCTCTCTCTGTCCCTCCTCTCTCTCTCCTCTCTCTCCCCCTCCTCTCTCTCTCTCTCCTCTCC